GTGGCCGTGGATGGGACCCGGGGTGGGGGGGCGGGGAAGGGTGGAGGGAGGCCTTCGGACGGGAGGAGAGGGGCGCAGGGGAAGGGTCGGGGAGGCCCGGGTGGGCGCATCCCGGGGGAGGGAGCGGCCGGCGCCCTCCGCGCGGCGGGGAGCGGAGATGCTGGGGACTGCCCCTGAGTTCATGAGAGCGGCACAGGTCCGGGTCCGGGGAGGAGGCAGGACGAGGAAGCCGACAGGACGGCGAAGCCCGCTTTCCGTCCGTCTCCGCAGCCGATCGGGCTCCGGCCGCGTTCTTGCCCATTTTTGGCGGCGCTGCCGGGGAATGCTACTCGGCAGGGTTCCCGGCGGAGGAGAAGGAAGGCCGAGGCTTACATTTCTCCGGCCTCAGCTCGGCGCTCTGGGGTTGAAAAGCTTTCGGAAAACGTCTGCTTTTGGGAATCTATTTTATACACAGGTGTCAGCAATCTAACTGGAGAAAAAGAGGTTCTAGGAAGCTTCCAGGCCCGGCTGGGTCCCCAGCGCGGACTGGAAGTCTCCCGCGTCCCATCCCCTCTGGGGACCAGGTGCTTCTGCTGAGCAATGGAGGGGGCGTGGTTCTGAGACTCCACGCCATGGCCTGGCTTTAATTTTCTGCCGTTTCTGCCTCCACCCCTCCGAACCGTCCTTTGGGAACAGATGATGCCAAAAGGTTGAAGATCCTAAATCATATATATATGATATCATATATACAAGAAATCTTCCATATATACATATATTTAATTGAAGTATAGTTGATTTACAGTGTTGTTACTTTCGAGTGCGCAGCATAGTGATTCAGTTATACATGTATTACTCTTTTTCATTATAGGTTATCACACAGTATTGAATAGTCTCCTGTGCTGTTTACTTATTTTATATACAGTAGTGTATATGATCCTAAATCTTTGAATTTTGCCCCAGCACAACCCTCCTTGCCCCTGATGAGCCCAGGACAGGAAGGTGAAGGCAAATGGATGCTTTTTATAACAGCGAAGCCCAACGTGGACACTAACAAACTAGTGTGACCCCTGGAGAATCCCTTCTTACTGGGTTGGAGGCAGGGCAGTACCCAGAACCCAAACAGGATAGTGGGAGTTGCCTCGCAGCCCACAGCTGACTCTTGCCTGGTAAGAAATAGGCATTTCTGTCTAGGAAGGGTCTGCCCACAGCTGAGAGGCTTTGGCCGGGAGCCTTCAGCCCAGGACCTGCAGCTCCAGGCTGCCTGCCTCCCTGGACTGCCTGGGGGGGGTGGGGTGGGGGTGGGGAGGAGGCTGAGAGTGGAGGCAGGAGGCTGATGAGGGAGGGGACAGGAGAAGAGAGGGCGGAGCTTCTCTGGGTGGGATAGCTCCCAGGGTAGTCGGCCCTGCTTTCCCGAAGTTTTGAAAACATTGCTTTTGCTGGTAAATAACAATTAACATATATAAAATTGCATAAAAGTGTTTGCACAGTTTAATACCTGCAGCCTAAGGGCCCCCTGTGTGCGTGTCCCTGGTCAACCCCGACCCCACAGAGTGACCATCACCCTGACTGTGTGATAAGCATCTCTTTTCTGCCCTTTGTGGTGTGTGCAATCCCGAGTGTACCTGCAGCACTGTACTTTAGCTTTGATTGTTTCTTGACTGTATAGGAATGAAATTATGCTGTGCTCCTTTATCCTGGCTCTGTCCCTCAGTCCTGTGCTTCAAGATTCATCCGTGTAGATTTAGTTCGCTGGTTTTTCACTGCCCTGTAGGCTTGTCTCACATGAATACACCACAATTACGTATTCATTTGACTGTAGGTGGGGAATCAGCTGTTGCACAGGGCTGTTGGCAGGGCAACTGCTGTTACGAATTTTTTTGAATATGAGTCACAGTGCAAGTGTGTAGTTTATCTGTGGGCTATACCTCGAATTGGAAGTTCTAGGTTTGCATATCTGTAAGTTTATTTTATTATTTCAAATTAAAAAAATTTTTTTAACAGAAGTACTGGGGATTGAACCCAGGACCTCACACGTACTAAGCATGTGCTCTACCACTGAGCTATATACCCTCCCCACTGTAATTCTAAAGAAAATGGCAAGCTGTTTTCCAAAGGGATATTTGGGTTGTCTAACTCTACACCCTTGTTGATTTTTATCTGTTTGTTAATTATGAAGAGAATATATCAAAATCTCCTACTATGTTTGTAGATTTGTGTATTTGTCATTTTAGTTCTGTCATTTTTTTTTGGCTTTCTATATTTGAATCTATGTTATTAGATACATAAAATTGTTATATCTTCTTGGTCAATTGATCATATTCAAAACAATTTTGACTTGAATGCAAAAATGTTTATAAAAACATTGTGCACTGCCGACAACACTGAATAACAGCCCCAAACAGGAAACCGTCCAAATGTTACCATTTTATCATGTGCCCCGTTTTTCCTGTATCACTATGACGAATAGTATTGATACAGGAGAATGTGTGGTGAGAGAATGGCCGTGTCCCAGGTCTCAGTTGAATCCCTGGGACCCACCCCACCAAGTGTGGGTCCTTGGCTTCACACGGGAAAGAATTCAAGAATGAGCCACAATTGAGTAAAGGTAGATTTATTCAGAGAGATACGTACTCCATAGACAAAGTGCAGGCATCTCAGAAGGTAAAAGAACGGCCACAAGGTACAGGGTTTGGTGCTCAGTTTAAAGTAAAAGTAGTCGCACGCTCCGTAGGCAGAGTGTGGTCCGTGTCACGCAGAGGGGAGAGCGGCCACGAGGTGTGGGGTGGCTAGCTTTCACGGGCTCGGTTATCTCACTTGCTAACAAGTGGGAAGACTACTCCAGCCACGCTGGGAAGGGGTGGGGATTTCTAGGAACTGGGCCATCGCCCGTTTTTTGGCCTTTTATGGTCGGCCTCGGAACTGTCCTGGCGCCTGTGGGTGTGCCATTTACCAAGCTGACGTGTTACAACGAGCATGTAATGAAGCTCAAGGTCTGCTGGGAGTCAAGTCTCCCTCCACCTTGGTGCTAACTGCTGTGTCATTCCTTGAATGGCGGTGCCCTGCCCCCTTCCCTCCTGCCTCAGTATTCTAAACAGTTTTTGACTTTTAATTGTTCATTTTTTAGCATATGGAAACGTGCCTGATTCCCATGCGTTGGCCTGTGACCTCGTGAAACTCAGTTATGAGCTCTAGGAGGGTTTGTTTTTATTTTTCATCTTCCTTTTTGACCAGGGATTTTCATGTTGTCTGTGAATAGGGACAGTTTTTATTTCTTCCTTTCTAATGTGCGTGTGTGTGTTGTTGCACTGGCATGGTGTTGAGAAGGAGGGGTGAGAGTGACAGCCTTGCCTTGTTTACCGCTTAGGGGACGACGGGTCCCTTTTCTCACTGTTGGATGACGTTAGTTGCAGGTTGTTCAGATGCTCCTTTTATGCTGAACCCATTCTCTCCTGCTGCTCGTTTGCCAAGTGTTATCATGGGTGGATGTTGAATATTATCAACTGTTTTTTTCCTACATTTATGATTGTGTGATTTTTCTTATTTAGTTAATAATATGATAGAATACATTAACTGGATTAGTCGGGACCGGTCCGCAGGGATCTGTGTGAATAGGGTGGTGTGACTGTGAGAAGGCAGGTCCAGGCCTGCGGGACACTGGTGGTGACAGCAGGAGAAAGTTTTGACAGATGCTTACGCAATAGAAAAGAGCAGAGAAACAGGTTGTGAGAGTTCATGGGCCAATTAAGTGGGATGTTTCATCTCATTCCTTGTGTGTTTTTCCCAGGGATCGAGAACTACCTCTTCCTCCACTGTCACGTGTGCTGCCAGGGACACAGAGAAGAGGACAGATGCTCGCTCTTGCCTCCAGGATGTCACAACCTCGGGCTGGGCTGCCGCAGCTCCTTCTTTTTAAGCAAGGTGGGAGCACCAACCCCAACATCCAACTGTTTCCAAAGCAGAATGTATGACATGTATGTTCCTTTCCCCCAGTCGCCTATTAAACACACTTCAGTGCGAGGCACTGCTCACAGCTAAATTTTCACATTAAAAATGGTTGGTGACTCTTGGCATTGGTCAGAGGGACGTGAGTCCATGGAGCTTGAAATCCTTCCTCAGCTTTAAAGCAACTCTAGGGGTAAAAGCAAAAAGACGCACCGCCCAGTGATATAAGAGGACGCCACCACTGCCGGCTGCGATTGCTCCTGGGCTCTGTCGGTGGAAAAAAATGCACAACCGAGCAGTTGAGAGTTAGTTTTATTCAACGGACTTTCTGAGGACCTGAGCCTGGAAGATGGTCTCTCAGATCTGAGACAGCTCTGGAAAGGCAAGGGAGACGCGAGGCTATATATATAGGAGTTTTTGCAGCGAAGACCAGACCGGTGGCCCATCAGAAGAGTACTGTTAATGAAAGGAAAGCACATATCTCAAGTCAAGGAATTTAGCTCTTTTCTATGTATGGGAAGGTGCAAATATCTGGGCTCATTGAAATCATTTCTTTGATAGGCATCTAGCTATCCAGGGCCAGCATCCTGTCCTTTCCCATCCTGAGTCCCTCCAGGGGGCCCCGTTGGGGGTGGTGGCCATGGCCCAGCTGCCTGCTTGTCTGCATCCTGAGTTCCCTACGGCTCACCAGTTCACAGCTGGGGGGTGGCGGCAGTGGCTGATGATTTGATGGCCACGGCATCTTTTGTTTACTGATGTGGCAGGCAATATTCTTCACTCACAGTTCCTACCTCCAGCTTAGTCTGAGAGTGGACGGGAGTCCCGGCAATCCAGGTGAGAAGAAAGATAAGCTCAGGGATGGCCGTGAAGGGTTGGGGACAGAGCAGCTGGAGACCCCCTCTTATGACTGGATGGTGGGGCCCCCTCTCCTGCACCAACCCTCCAGCTGGAGGAGGGGCTCCCCTCCAGGAGAGTCTGGAGCTGCGGACTAGGGGAGACTTGGAAACCTGTAGTCCCCGTGGCCTTGTTGTTACAGGCAAGAGGTGACTTTTGACTCGTTATTGAGTGATTCAGGGTCTATTTTGCTACAGAAATACATACAAAGTCGCCAGGCAAAGCACAGAGCAAAGTAGCTTCTCAAGGCACATAAGCCTCCAACTATGATTGTTTTTGCCTTGGAGTTGCTTTCAGTTTTATTAAAAACAAAACAAAACAAAACAAAATCAAAATTCGGCTGAGTAAACTTGAAGATCTGATTGGCTCTATTAGGCAATTCATAGTTGGGGCAGCATCCCACCCATAGTTGGGATGAGGCGGGGCTCCAAGGGGCTGTCCAAAGTGGAGGGTTTTTATAGGCAGGAGGGTGGGGCCAGAGGATGAGCAGCAAAAGAAAAGAAAGGACTGTTTCAGGTCAGGAGGGCTTCTTTTGCCTGAAGGGAAGGCAGGGGTCTTACTAGGAAAATTATCTCACCAGCCTTGATCTGGAAATTTCAGACTGACTGTTTTAAAGGTGGTATTTCTGGGAGGGGTTGAAACGGCAATTAAGTCTTGGTTTGCTGAGAGGGTGTGGGTGGGGTGCAAAGGATTCCATTTGGGGACTTGGTTTTTTTTTAACAGCTTTCTCAACCAGTGTCTCTCATATTTTGCAGAGTCCTCTGCCCTCAATTAACAGGGTGGGGACCAGGGAGCAGCTTGGCTTCCTTACAGAGTGTTTCGTCACACTAATTTCTGCTCCCAAGTTAATGAATTTCAGGCAAATTTTTCACCATGTGCACAGAGTGAACGCTTGGGTGACATTTTTACAGGCACCCAAAATACTTTCTATAATACTGTTAGCGAATAAGAAAATGACAGCCCACTAGTCATCAAAACCACGCCTAGGATTTCCAATGTTTAAGAACTGCCTGGCTCAGGGGGTGCTGAACGCAGGGTTTCCAGCTGAAACGGTGCTACTGCTGTGATATTGTATGTGATAAAAATATGTATTTGGTTTTGTCCCATGTTCCTGGCACAGGGCTTCCAGGACCCTTGGAACTTCCTGAGTGATGGAGGTGATGGGGACACCTTCACCTGGCTTTAGTCATTCACAGCCAGCCCCTTGGAGGATGGGGCTGGTTGCTAGAGGAACCTACCAGTGATTAAAGGGTTAGACCTTTCAGCCTCACTCCACCCCTGTGGAGGGGAGAGGAGCTGGTGACTGAGTTCTGCTACGGAAGCCAGTGATGTAATCGGTCATGCCTTTGTAATGAAGCCTCCCTAAAAACCCGAACTCAAGGGCCTTGGAGAGCCTCCAGGTAACTGAACACCTGGAGGTGCTGGGAGGGCCGTGCACCTGGACCGCTCCAGGCTCCGCTCCACACACCTTACCCAGGGCATCCCTTCTGCCTGGCAGCTCCTGAGCTCAAGCCTTTATAATAAATGGATAACAGTTAAGTCACCTGTTTCCCTGGGTTCTGTGAGCTGTCCTGGTAAATTACTGAACCTGAGGAGGGGGTTGTGGGAACCTCCAGTTTGTAGCCAAGTTGGGCAGAAGTTGTGGAAAAATCAGGGACCCACTCCTTGTGGCTGGTGTCTGAGGCTGGGGGCAGTCTTGTGGGACTGAGCCCTTAACCTCAGAGTCTGGGTTAATTCTGGGCAGTCTGTGTCAGAACTGAGTTAAATTGTAGGACACCCAGTCAGTGCTGCTTGGTTTGGAAAAACCCACACTTTGGTATCTGAAGTATATGAAAGCTGAGGTTTTTCTTTTAACTCTGGTTAGTAGTATAAACACCACTTGTAACCTCCCTGTCCTACCAGCTTTGAAATCGTGTGAATCTTGACAAATTCTTACAACTCAGAGCCATTTGAATCACTTCAAAGTTTGCAAACAAAGTGAGGCTTTATTAATGTTTTGCACGACATCATTTCAGTTTTTTGTAATTCGAATTGGCGTGAGATACATTCATTCATTCACCCAATCTTCTTGGAGTTTCTTCTGTGGACCAGATTGCTCTGGGTGTTGGAGATTTGGCAGTGACAAAACTACGTCTCCACCTCTGTGGACGTTACAGTCTCATGGGGAGACTCACAGTAAACAATCCATATGATATAAAGTCAAGTAAGTTTGGTGAACGAGACTAGAGCAGCGGAAGGGATACTAAAAGACGGAGGAAGAGATGCTGTTTCAGATCAGGTACCAGAGGGAGTCGTGCAGAAGGAGGGAGGTTCAGAGGCAGCAGCAAGCCATCGGAGTGTCTTTGGCAACTTTTTAACCCATAAAGGACTTGCTCTGGGGTTGACAGAGAAAGTGGGTTAAACCTACTAGTTACAGATCAGATCTGAATTCAAAAACCCAGCTCTACCACCTATTAACTGTGCGTCTTTGGGTGAGTGACTTAACGAATCTTTCTGAGTCTGTTTGCTCATCTGTTGAGCCAGGATGATAATAATACTTGGCTCATCGGGTCATGGTAGATATAGAAAGTGATCATGTACATAAAACCTGTGTCTCTGACCCCGGCACAGAGGATGTGCTGAAAACAAGGTGGCTGTCACTATTATTATTATTACTGATCATCATCATCACCACCAGGAATGGTAAAGCCTTTGAAAGTACTTACTATTGTCAACACACGGGACTCGGGCAGAGCACAGCGGCTGTCTCTGCTGGGAAAAGTCTAAACTGTAAACACATCTGCGCATATTTAAACACACTGAGTCTCCTGCTGACAAGTGCTAGTGAGGGCTGAGGGCAAGAGAGCTGAGCTCAGAGCCACATAGGATAGTGGAGAGTGGGATTTTAGGGACACACACCCCTCGCCATCTGGGCCTCTAGCTGCCAGGCTGGACCCTGCGGAAGCACGGCTGCCCAGGCGGGCAAAGCCCGTGAGCATCCTCGGTGGCTGCTCTGTGCTGCTCACTGGTGACTCATCGCTGCAGACGCCATTGGCAAAGCTGGCTAAGGCCGCCTCTCCGCTCCTAGATGCCCAAATATTCCAGAAGCTTTGGCCTGGCCCGAGGTATCCAGAGTCAGATATCAGCACTGGGCGGAGCTCCTATGAGTGCAAAACAGTGACTTGTGTTTAGCAAACACTTCTGTGTTTACAAATCTCAGTTTCAGAATTCCTCCATCACACTAGCTATATTATAATCACCTGCCATTTTCCCTCCCCCCCCATGAGAACGAGAGCTCCTTGAGGACAGGAACCCTTTTCTTGTGTCCCAGCACCTAGTCCCTAGTAGATACTCAAAAGTGAATGAATAAATGAATGAGTGACTCAAATGTCAAGGAAAGAAAATAATTCACAGTAGTAATTAGCCTTCATGTCACCATGCGTTTATCTTTCGTCTTATGGTTTACCCGACACTTTTGCTTAAACGGGCACACTTAGACCTGTGAGATTGTCCTGCAGATGAGGAAACTGAGGCTGAGACCGTGGTGAGTTTAGAGAGATAATTCGTGGTACAATGGCTGGTCCCTTCCACTCGACACAGCCCCCTGATAATGAACAAAGGACAGCTTTACCGCATCACGTGCTTCACTCACCCAGCCAGTCCATCTCTGTACTCACCAGCCTTGACGATGCACTTCCCCTGAACATGTTTTGGTAGCAGCACAAGTGAATGACATGGGCTCAAGTTCTGGATTCTAATCCGGGTCCCATGGTTCCGAGCCAGATGCTCTTGGCACAGAAGTCGCTGTCTCTTAACCTCGATTTTTCACACTCAGGCACCCATCACAGTCTTACTGGGCCCGGCCCTGCGAAGTGGATGGAGGGCTCAGTCACATCGTCCCGTGGGAGCTGCTGGTCTGCTAAGGGAGGGACACACAAAAGTGAAATCACTGCAGCAAGTGCAGGCCTCGCTGGGACAGAGCCTGGGAAGCCCCCATGGAAGGAGGAACCCTAAGCCGAGTGGCATCGCGCAGACCCCGGAAAAGGAAAGGAATGTTCCCAAGACAGGAAATGCATGTTCTGGATTCACTTTAAATGATACTGAATGTTTTTTCAAAGCCTTATTTCTTTATTTCAAAGCCTTATAAAACCAGTGTCAGATGTCCCCTTTATTTTTGTGGTACCACATCCTCTCTGAAGCCTTTGATGCCTCTAGACGGGCTGTGTGCCCTGTGCTGAGTAATCACCTTCCCCACCCCTGCACCCTCTCTCCCCACTGGTTTCATTTTTCCTGCCTGGATTTCCATCCACACTGGCCCTTCTGGTGCCATCAGTGTCCCCCTGCCACCCCACTGGGCTCCCAGACTCTGCCCTCTGGGTAGCCCCTGCCAGGCTTCTCTCTCTGACACTGCTCGCTGCCCTGGGCTTGTCTTCTCTCCGCCTCTCTTCCCACCACTACTGAGCTGGTTGACTTTTGAAACGCTTGGCCTGGGCGGCCAGGAGCAGGTCTGCTTTCCTGCTCAGCGCTGTGCTCGCCGTCCCCAGGCTTCTGTCTGCACAGCTGTGCACAGCTGGCCGCAGCTGCTCGCCTGGGAGGCCTCTTCTGCTCCTTCAGTTTGTGGGTGTTGGTGAGATCCTGGGTGTGTGTATCAGAAAAGTAGGTGGAAATGGTACCCAGACAACTGGGGGAGTGGGGTGGATGGAAGGCTCTGTGGGCTGAGGATACGCTTGGAAAACCTTGGCCAGGAAGAGACGCCTGAGCTGGAGTCTGGAAGAAAGGCGGGCCCTGCTGCACCCCAGGCAGCCTGAAGGGCGTGGAGGGGGTCGGTGGAGGGGGCTTTCCTGGATGTATGCAAACTGGTCCTTCTTTGGAGGGGTCCCTGAGTGCCAACCTCCCAGGTCTCCTAGTGTCTCGGATAGAGCCCGATCTTCCCTCTGTGTCGGCAAAGTCTCTGTCAGGGGCCGGAAGGGAAATACGTTAGGCTTTGGGGCCATCAATCTGTCCCTCTCTGCTGTGCAGTGTGGGCACAGCTCTGATACCTGTGCAGGTGTGTGTAAAACAACTTACAAGCTGCAGATTGATCGGACCCAGGAGACTGCCGACTCCTGCTCTGAGGGATCCTGTTGTGGGGAAGGCTGCCCCGCCCTCCCACCCCAACCTGTCCAGTGGCTGTTGTGTGGCAGAAGCCATACTGATGACAATCACACCCACAGCTGCCACTTGCCCAGCGGTCACTTTGGAACAGGACCTGCGAGAAGAGCTCTGTGACCTCATTTAATCTTCTCAATCACCCAAGGTGAGGATTACAATTGTCATTTTACAGACTACAAAACACAGATTTCAGAGGTTAACTTGCCCAAGGCCACCCAGTTCAGCACCTTGACCTCCATAGCTGTCAGCCGGGGGAAGGCTCCTACTGGACAAAGGGGTCCACAGACTGGTGCTGTCTGTCCTCTGGGCTACAAAGCAATCACCGAGCGTGGCCACGTCTGGGTGCCGGCAGCTCTGAGTGGTGGGCATGTGGATGGAGCATGGGATCCCAGGCGAGCCCCTGGGTGTGCCTCTGCGCCCACAAGCCAGCATTTCCTGAATGCTGTATTCTGTCCTGGGTGTGTGCTTTTCACCTGGAGCCCCGCAGATCTTGTCTTGAATTCCTAGCACTATGAGTTGGTAACTTCAGGGCTAAAATTAAGTATGATTTGAGAAGAATTCTTAGTCTGATATAAACGAATATAATCCAGACACCACTAATGCCGTCTTTGGTATCTTTTGTGTATCTCTGTTGATGTGAAGGAGCGTTTTTCAAGGTCCTTTCAAGTCTGTGGAATTACGCTTGTATGTGGAGGGAGATAAACACGTGCACACACGCACACCCCTACAGTGCATGTGGGTGAACAGTAAAAGGTGCAGCCTCTGCTCCCCTCCTTCCTCCTCTTCCTCATGCTCTCCTTTTCTATTTTTTTAAATTCTTTTTTGGGGGGCAGTGGTGGATAATTAGACTTTGTTTGTTTGTTTTTAATGGAGGTTCTGGGGATTGAACCCAGGGACTCCTGCATGCTAAACCCGTGCTCTACCACTGAGATATACACCCTCTCCCCTCCTTTTGTATTTTTTTAAATATCTATTTTTCTCTAGTTGATGAAACTTTGTATTCAGGAGTGTTACAAGTGTTTATGAAATAAAGTATTTATTGATCAAAATCAATAAATAATAATACTGAAGAGAGACGGGTATTCAGAATAAAGGACTTCCCGTATAAGTTTTCACTTACAGTTAGTTTTGCTATAACGCTTGTGAATTTGTTCCAAAGCAACGGGTAGATTAGGGAACAATTTGAGCATCACGTGAATTTTTGCTTCTCGGTGAGCATCAGACTGCTCCCCTCAGAACCGAGCTGGGTCGAAAGTCTCAAAAAATGCACGTGCACACGCATGCGCACACGTGCACATATGCCCGACAGATACTCGCGCTCAGGCACACGCACGCGCACACGTGAGGACGCACATGCAGGCACGCACGAGAGCGTGCTCGCGCACGCATGCGCACACACGCTCACACCCCCGCGCGCGCAGACCGCGGCCCTTCAGCCAGCGGCAAACTCAGTTCACGTCCCGTGTCGTCTGTAAAGGCTGTGCTTTGCCGTGCGTTTGCACGCGTGAGCTTTTCTGTATTCAAAAAGAGGAAGAAAGGAACATTCCTTGGACAGCGCACACGTGTCCAAGCCTCCCGGGTCAAAACTGCAGAGAGGACGCGTGAGGAGGGCGTCGTGTGCGGGCGAAGACCGCGGATTCGCCGAGTCCTGCGGGGGAGGCTGGTTTTGGGGCGGGTGGGGGCTGGGCCCGTGCGCCCCGGCACTGCTGCGGTTTCCGGAGCCCTGAGAGCCCGTGAGAAAAACGAGGAGGTCCGAAGCAGATTTCCAGCGGTGATTCCGAATTGTCAAAGAAGTCTGTTCTAATATGAGATTGGATTTTCAGTTTTCATAAAACATAATTACCGTAAA